AGTTGTCAATATTTTAAGTATGACTATGTTTGTTTTATAAACTCATGTCTTTGTACTGGTCCTGGTGTATGACTGTAATAAAGATTGAACTGAACTACATGGGGGCGTCTTATAGATGGAAAAATACAGTAACCATTTCGCAGGCTCCCTGTTTCCATGGGATCCCCAAGGCTGCTGGGAAAACCATGTTTTAAGAGATTTCCGGAAGGCTTCCCTCTGGGGAAATGATGTTCCAAAGGGCGAGCACCCCAATAGAAAAGGCTCTCCTCCTGGGTATCACCGGATGGCATTCCTTAATAAACGGGACCCATAACATGTCTCTCCTGCTGACTGATGAGACCAAGGAGAGGCGATCCCTCAAATAACCTGGTCCCTTGCCATGTAGGGCTATATGGCTACACACACACACACACACACACACACACACACATGCTGCCATCTGCTTGCCCTATAGCACTCTGTGTGTCTGTGTCTGTGTGTCTATGTTGCCATCTGGTAAATATGGTACAGTTTTTGAAGACTGAGAATACCCAAACCTTCCATGCCAGGTTTGTAGGAACACATGGGACCTAGTCTGATTACTTTATTATTAAAAGTGGCAGCTTATAACTGGAAGTACCACAATTCTTCTGAGGCTGTTCTGCAGCAACTATTATCCACATTACTCCATTTAAATCCCCATTCCAAAAAAAATAGGCTGAACCTAGAAAAACCTATAAATACAATCTGTATACACACAGAAAGAGGGACACACATGAATATATAGGAAAATGAAACAAAGGGAGCAAAGAACAGGACTTTTGAGCAGTTTGCTTAATTTGGGGGATATATTTTATGATATGTATGTCAGGCCTTCTTTCCTTTTTTTCCTTTCCTTTCAATATAATATCACAAGGTTAGCATAACTATATATATAACTATGTATAGTAAAGCCTCAGTTTAACTGGTCTTGATTTAACAGATTTCTGAGTTAACAGAAAAAAATTGAGTTTGGACTTCAATCAGTCGAGCAATTAATTATAAACAATAATTAATGCAATTATGCAGATTATGTATCTTTATGAAAGTAACATATACTTGGATTTAATGTACTCACCTTCATCCAAAAATGGTTCATTAAACTGAGGATTTTACTGTACATTCTCTTTGTTATACTAAAATCAGTTGAAAAGGAAAAATGTGGAATTGGGCTTGCTTCCATCCATCACTAAACCAGCATAATAGTGGTTAAGAACAATGAAACAAGAAAGCTTATAAACAGTGACCACATTCAGCTTTCCTTCTAGCCCTGTTTTTCTGAATCAGAGAATAAAATAGTTTTCTAGCTGTTACAAATGAAATTAGTCTTATTTTAGTAGTTTGTTCATTTGGGGGGGGGGATTATATGAATGAGGTATAATGAAATGCCATATAATATAAAAGCAAACAAAATGAACCTTTTAATACTACCTTCAAATTAAATATATGCATTTGTGTGCATCATGTGACTTTGTTGTATCTCTCAAATTCCTCTTTAGACAGCCATTCCAGTCTTGAAGTTTTTAATATCTTTCCTGACTTCAGTCATTAACTTTGTTGCTCCATGTGAGGCTCCCACATAAATGTTTTCATCAGATGTAGGAATGTAGGGAGTTTCTTGCCATTGGGAATACTTGAAAGATACAGCATATTGTACAAAGCATTTAAGAAGAAGATACTTATCAAGCTAGTGAGTTACCCTCCATGATCCTTGTCACCCACAGCAAATATTATTGCCTTAAATTCAGATAGCTGTCAGTAGAAACAAACTGCACAAGGAGCTGGATTTAGACTTGATCTTCTGCAAGAGACAAGTTCATTTGTACTAAAGATTTAAAGCCGCTCATAGGTATCATAGTCCCCATGATGCTAAGAGAACAAAATGGGCCTTGCAATATTGTGATGCAAGCTCTGCCTTTTCATTCTTGCATCATAACATTGCACACAGATACATTGGAGCAGAGATTTGTGTGGTGATGTGACACACGTGTGGTTACTCCCCTCCCTCATGGATGCCTGTGGAGCCTTTGGAGATTCCTAAGGACAGAAGAGGCGATTTTTGTCCACTGCATCGATTCCTGGAACCCCCACTTCTCGTGGGAGATATTTTGGACAGCCTCTCTGCCTCCTCCTAATGGGAGTATCAGGCTCACAGCATTCTATCCATGCAACTTGAAAAAGACCCCAATGGAAATAACATCACAACCCCAGAAAAAGGGAATGATAAATAACAGCCTTCTATTCAAATGGAATCAGCTGCTGAGTTTTTAAAATAAAAGGTAACATATTGGATTTAAGCTGGGCAAAATTAGATTTTGCCAGTGGTACCTTACACCTGCTATCCCTGACTAATGCCATCCCGATGCACTGTCTTTCAGCTTCTACAATCCACAAACAGAATGCCAAATGAAGTATAATGCACGTGGATGATAGCACATTGGGGAAAGCCACGCTGCCTCCAAAAGTCATAGGGGGCATTGTGTAATTGGGCAAGGCTCCCTCCCTCCCCTTTCTTTGGTGAAGTTTTATCTGGCATTTAGAGATGGATTTATTTTCATTCATAAATAAGATAGATGTGGAGGATCAGTACACATAAATGCTTGTTATGTAAGTGGAAAAAACACAGAGACGCACAACAAATTGTACCACTGTGTGATGGTTTTGTCACTGAATTTTAATGGTGTATTTGAGGAAGGTGCCAGGAGATGTGGAAAAAGGTATGGAGGTGCACACAGCCTTTGGCCCTGGGTTGCCCATGACTTCATCAGATAAAATCATAGCAACAAGGCTAGTCTCACAGAAAAAATTACAGTGAAGAACTGAAACTGATTCTTTAATTAAAACAACAGAAAAGATAGGAATGACTCTTCTCCACTTTAAGCTGGCCTATTGATTGGTCTTGGGTGTTATGAAGCAACATTTTGAAAGAAATGAAAATGAGGGATACATTACTTCCAGTGTTAAACTGAGAGGGCAAGTGTACAGACTTTCAACTTGCTTGAACAGCATAGAGAAGTAGCCTCATAGCCAAAATAGACCAAAGCAGTGGCATCTGTAGCCAACTGCAATAGCACCAAACGTGACAACGTGCACACAGTGATGCCATCATGATGTGATGCAAGTACATGAGTCGCAGCACTTGTATGATGACATTGTGAACTCATTATGTATGTCTTATCAATTGCTCCCCACTCAAGATTGCCCATGGGGTAGAAGAGACCACTTTCATTATTTTGATGAATTGCAATGTTTCTCAACTTTGACAACTTTATGATGCCTGAACTTCAACTCACAGAATTCCCCAGCCAGCATGCTTAAAGATGCTAAGGTTGAGAAACACTGATGTAATGAATGCCACAGCCCTATAATATTTGAGTTTTTTCTCACATCTAGCGGTGAGAAATTTGGAGTATTGTTACACCTTATTTACTTACTTACTTATTTATTTATTTATTTATGCCCCCACACATCTCCCCCCAATGGGGGACTCTATACCAACTATATGTCTGTTTCCATATTATTTTTTGGAAGGGATTGGTAACCCAAGAATAAATCTGAAAAGATGACAGTGAAGAACTGAAATTAATAAAAAAAAATTAATTAGAATGACAAAAAATATTAAAAAAAGATTTTTCTCTATTATAGGCTGTTCATTGGCTGGTTTTGTGGTATGAACATTTTGAAAGAAATGAAAATGAGACACTAATTTCAATTTTAAACTGTGAGGGTATTTTCATGTTTAGTGTGCCAAGAATATTCATAGAAGTGCACTATATAAACTCCTTTAAAATTAGAATTACACCATTAGGGAGGTGTCCATTAAGTGATATTTCAGAGTAAAATAGCACTTGTAGAAAAGGAAAACAAAACCATCCTAAACTGGGGAAATGGTTTCAGTTGAAGAAATTAGTGGAAAACTTATTTTAGGGATTTTTTTTCCCATTTGTGCTCCTTTTCAGGACCACTTAGCAACACAATGTGCCCCCATTCTTGATATTAGAGCAAAGAGAGGGAAAGGAGAAAAGTTTTAAAAAAAA